TTCTTACCATCAAGGGTCAAAGGTTGGCATAACTTCATATTAAGCAGTCTCAAGTTTAAGAAATAAGGTTTAGGAACAAAAACAAAGAACAGCTTTGAGGTACATGCCTTCATTACCTTTAGACAATCAAGAATAAAGCGATAATTAAACTTCAGTCAATAATAAACACATTGTGCCACCTCAGCAAACCACTGCATTTTTCAGACCTGCATATTTAAAATGTTTTTTCACTGTCTGCACCACAACATCAACACTATTCTAACTGCTAGAGAATGTAGGGAAAAGAAAAAAATCTTCTTCAAGGCCTTAAAAATATGTTTCACGATCATACGGTTTGCTCTGCCCATGTTGCGGTAAAATGTGGAATGACTTTGGCACAGCAATGTGACCCCAAAATGTTTGGTTCCTAATTTGTCCATGGAACTATGGTTATAACCTTTCTGCTGTGAGGAGCCACAGGAAGTCTTTACAAACCAAAAACCCTGAACTCAACATATTGTTATCTCCCTGATGTTTGACTGCAGGCCAAATGATCTGCCGGCGTGGGACAGAGCGACCGTGCTACAAGGTGTCCAACATTCAGGACAGCAGACGTAGAGTGACCTTCGAAGATGCCAGGCAGACCTGCAGGTCCGACGGGGGCGAGTTGCTCAGCATTGAAACAGAGAGTGAGCAGCGACTGGTAGAGAGGTTCATACAACAGCTGCAGGCCGGAGATGGAGACTTCTGGATCGTTCTCCGCCAAAGGCCACAGCGCTACAGGGCAGGGGCCACAATTCCAAGTTGTCCCTCGCAGTACTATTGGCTGGAAGGAAGCAAGGCCAAGTTCAGGTCTGTATCTCTAATTTGTGTTGCTGCATCAGTGAAAACCATTTGAAGGACAGGGGATAAAAAAAGGAAATGTCAGTGGAAAAACCCTGTTTTCAGTTGTGATTTAGAAGAGATTATTGGATTAAATGAAGTTTGCATGGGAGTGATGGAATGTGTACAGTCCCTTTTGAGGAAAACTGCACGCGATGATGAAAACTGTCAAATGATACAATAAGAAATGTGATAAGAGGCTGACATTTGCTGCAGGAACTGGCACTGGGATGAGCCATCGTGTCGTGGTGAAATGTGCGTGGTTCTGTACGATCAGTCATCTGCTCCGCCTGACGGAGATGGTCGTTTCCTGTTCCACTGGAGTGACGTCAACTGCTACTCTAAGAACAACGTTGTCTGCAAATACCCAGAAGGTGAACGAGCAGATCACTGACACTGGGCTGTTGTACAGTACTTGGTTGTGCAGACAGCTACTGGGAATTTTCAACACTGATTTTATTTGGTTTCTTAAATCTGTGTCTGACCATTAGTGAAATGTGGCCAATGCTGACAACAGCTAGAACTAAATATTTAGTGTACAATTTGATTGCTTGGTTTACTCTAATGCTTTGCTCTCTGGAAACCTAAAACAAACATCTGCTAATGTTTAAACGAAACCTTAACCTTAAATAATATCAGATTCACGTGATTACCTCAGACAAAGAGGTGATGTTTTTGTCTGCATTTGTCATGGGCGTCTGTTAGTTAGCCGGATTATGCAAAAACTACTGTGCGGATTACCAAGAAACTTTGCAGAAGGATGCGTTATGAGTCAGGAAAAAAAAATTGGTTGTGGGTTCGGAAAAGAGGCACAGATGTTTTTTTAACTGGCATTGAGAGTTTTCAACATTTTCGTCGATTTCTCGTTTCTCAGATATTCATGAATCTTGGTTTAAAAATCTGTGTCGGGGACTGATATTTATGAGTGCTTGCAATTTGGTGCTCATACAAATAAAAATGCTGTGAATTTAAATGTGTCATAAGGGGACTTTTGGCCCTTGGCCGTGCCTTAGTTACAGTATATATGGCCCCTCTAATAGTCCTTTAAGGGACCTAAAACTGTAAAACAACCCTTCACTGAATCCATATGCACATTTCATGTATTATTACAGTAGGCTTATCTTACTGTATGCAGTTTTCTTCTTATTCATGTCTCATTTCATTTTGTTGATACATTTTATGACATTTACTGTTGGTTCTACCTGATGTGTATCATTATTTTCCTTTCTATTTCTGATTATAAATGTTTTTTAAGTATGTCTCTATGGACTTAATCTCTTTTTTATTAAGATGTATGATTTTATGTCAAAAAGAAAATCTGGCTGGATGACGTGAACTTCTTTTCTCTGTCCTCTGCAGAAAAAGTACCAGTATTTACTGATGAAAGGAACATGACACATGCAGGTACAATGTGCACTTGTCTACCCCACACATACTCTCCTTGTGTGCTTTATGTTCCTGTGAGATATAGATAACAAGCAGCAGCAGATGTTTCAAATTTCAAATCTGCAATGGTTAGATAATCAATATTATTTGACTGTTTTCTGATTCCAGTTCCATCCCTGAGGCCAAAACTATTCTCTACTACAGAAAGTGACGACAGGACAAAAATAGTTCTGCCTGAGTCATCAGGTAAGAAATTAAATTCATTTTAGTTGAGATACTTAATGCCCTTATTGTGTTTAAGGAAACTACTGGAAACCTGTGTTTCAAGTGGTAACAGAATCATGACGTACCGTAAATAATCAAACACAGAGGCCGTGTTGAATTATTTTATGTCAAGTAATGTGTTTTTCTTTGCAGTGTCTCTCTCAGACAACACCCTGTATGTTTCCTACATCCTTTATGCAACTGTTCCTGCTGTCCTGCTGCTGCTGTTTGCAGCTGCTGGCTTCTTCTGTTACAGAAAGCACGCAAAGAGGTAAAAGCAGAAAAGTGGCATTTAAAGTTTTTTTTTCTCTGAATGCAGATTTATAAAATAACATATTAAATATATAAGAAGATAAATAATGTTGTTTTTTCAAAAGGTAGTTAATATTTTTGTGTTTAATGCTCTTGTAGAATATGTTTTCATCAATATGACACAGTAATGCAGGTCTTTTTCAAGTATTTATTTAGTTTTGGCCGATGTAAAGACACGTTTCAAAAGGATATACTGTGTATACTTCTTAAATCCTTCCAGTTTGCAGTTAGAAACATGCAGTGCAAATGTGATTTCTCATTTTATGTGGCTTGTAAAGTGGTAATTCAGTCATGTTGTAATTATCCTGCCATCCTCCTTAATGACATTTCTTTCATATCCAGGAGGAAGACAGAAACAGAGAGCTACCCCAACAGATCACAACCATGGAAGTCAACCACAGCTTCACTTTGTCCCGTACAAGGACCTTACGCCTTCAGTGACATTACCAAACTGCCTCACACCAACCTAGACGCCAGTGCGACTACAGACATCATGACAAAGTACTCCTGCGGTCCCTCCCCAGACTCCCAGTGTGACGATTATGAGAATGTGTCATGCACGTACAAGGCGAGCGGCTTTGTGACCAACGACATATATGAGACCTGCAAAGCTCAGAGTCGGCGCGGCAACGGTCAGGCTGGTTGGGTGGAAAATGAGATCTACGGATAATGCTGTCGATGTCTATCTGGTCTCTCCCAAGTGTCTGTCAACCCTGCTGCAGCTAGAGAAAATGACCCAGTCAGAGAGAAAAACACAATGTTCTCCATACCTGTTTCCTCCCGTGCACCATACTGGTTCCTTGTGTGGCGTAGGGTTACCAAACAGGTGGCTGTGTCAGCCTAGTTATTTGAGGATAGATCTGCTTCCTGTGTGTATCTGCAGCGCTCCCTCGTTGGCATCAAGCATTCTAGTCCCATTACTCATTAATGCAGGGTTTCCCAAAGTTTGGTTAACTGTGACTCTGCAGTATATTTAGACCCAGAACTTCCCAGAACCAGAGAGTTCTTACGCTTACGATTGTCAAACATATTGTGAATTTGACCATGTGAAAATAATAAGATAGATTTAAAATCCCTTTAATCCCTTTAATTATTTAAGAAGACAAGCCTCCGGCTATGATATCAGCTTTGTGACGGTGAATCTGTGCACAGCTGTGTTTTGATAGAACAACCCGCTGATATTTAACTTGTTTAATGTTTACCAAGTTCACCATCTTAGCTTGGGGTGTTGTCATGCTAACATTTGATAATTAACATTAAAACCTTAATATAGTTGAGGCCAATGGGAATGTTATTAGTCTTCCAGGTATATTTAGTTATAAACCAAAGCAGAGGGAAAGTATATATATACTGTACTGGGGGATGCGTAACACATTTCATAGCAGTCCATCCAATCATTGCTGAGACACACATGGTGTTGTGTGGATACAGAGACCCGATGGGTCTTGTTTGGTTCAGACAAATTTTTCTAAATTACATTTGGGCTCAGGGGGTAGATTTCTTTCTTTTTTTTACACTGTACATATCTGTAATAGGGGGAAACAAGCAATAACCATGTGTTTCAGGGCAGCTTACATCAACTGCTTCAGAGTCAGGTTAGGATTGGACACATAAAAAAAGGATCCCTGTACAGTTCAGGTCGGGTTCTGTTAGTTTTCTTATTAGCTTGGATGGTGTTTGGACAAAAAGATGAGACTTGAACTGTTCTTCATTGTGATGTAGCTATGTCACTAAGATCCATCGTCTAGACTCTGTGAATGTCTAACATTGTAAACCAACCCGTGTATAATCGTTGAGCTATTTTAGAGGAAAAGTGGAAAAAAAATTTAGCTGTTGGAAGCAATATAGAGGAAAATGAGACTGAAGTCATAGCATTCATCATCTTGGAACCATGGAAATCCATCTAGATGTGGGTAAACAATTTAATTTTAGAGCAGCCAGGTGGACAGATTCAAATAGATAATTTATTCAAACTTCATATAATATATAGAATTATTAAATATCCCTCAAACAGGAAAACTGATGCTAATATTTGTTTATTCCATTTGAATTGAACCAAGATCTTTCCTTTGTCCAGTTTTAACCATCATCTCTGACAAAAAGAGGCAAGGAGGGATTATTGAACTCAAATAATCATGCATGAGTCAGATCGGTTTAGCGGTGCAGCAAGTGCTGCTATATACGGCGTGGTGGATTACACATGTAACCCTGGGAATAACTGCATGTTTTGAGCCCTCACGCAGGGTTACTCATCATGTAAACAATCCTAAATTAAACTACTCCACCATATTTCCAATAACTTCACTAGATGTTATTGTAAGAGGCACTAGGACAGAAAGATTGTGTCAGCTCTCCACTGATGCACTCGTCCTATTAAGGGACTATTCTGACCTTTTCTTTAAACCTGAAGAGCAGTGTTTGTGTGTGAGCCCCGATTTAAGGCTTCCTGTTTGGACTGTGATGTCAGGCAACAGGACAGTGCATGTGGAAACACTGATGACAGAACTCTGCTGACCCCAGTAAACCTCAAACCTGCCCCCCCCCCACCACCACCACCACCCCACTTGACTGTGCGAGAAAAGCTGAACCACTGATTTGACATAGACACTATTGACTGAGTGACCACTTTAGATCACGTCATGGATTTCTTCATCATTGTTTGCCTCTGAAAGAACGTACCTGTTATGAACATAAAGATATCCTGGTTGTGTCTCAGTGTGCGCTGACTGTGCACTGAGTGGGCTGTTGGGTCGGTGTCTTGGAAAGATATAGTAAGCCCAGTAAGGAGAGGCTGAGTGTGTTCTTGGAGAATGTTAGACAGGAAATGCCAAAAGCACATCTGGAACTCCTACATGCAGGAAGTCTATGCGTGACAGCAGAGGCCTTTGGGGCACTGCTCGGCTTTGCCTGCTTAGCAATCCACGGTTCTGTGTTAGACCTGTCACCACAGGGGCTCCAGAGAACGACCACATCTCGGAACATGACATGATTGTTGGGTGTGAAATAAAGTTGGGTTGCACAATATTGTGGTTGCATTCCTTGTTGAATAGCAGTACGGGAATACTCAAGTGTCATGTGTGTTTAGTGGAGTGACGTCAGATGTGTGTGAATGCTGTCTAAGTATTACCAGTACTGCGCTGAGAAAATGTAAAAAGGAAATGGTAAACATCAGAAACCAATGCTTGAGGTTTGGCAGAGACAACTTTTTGGGGCTAGGGGGTCAGGTCAGGGTCACATCTTATCACACATGTTGATTATAGGTTCATGTCAGGGAACAAAGATAAACAGGGAAACAGACCCTCCAAGAAACAGAGCCTTTGGAATCCAACACTAGTTTAAAAAGAAATGTGGGGCCTTCCGTCAATTTTCAATTTCTGCCAACAGGTGGTGCTGGTGTGCAGCTGGACAAGTCTTTGTTGCTGATAAAACGTCTGTTCTCACATGAGGGCCTGCAGGTTACATTATATAAGGCTATGTGTTATCTTATATACCAACATTTGTATTGGTTTCTATTTTGTATGGATTATTGAATGTAAAAAAATATAGTAATGGTTTATTTTTTACGTGATTCTTGCATGTGTTGTGAGATGCATGTTTTTTCATTCATACTTGCAGAGAGCTGGGAGAATAACAGAAGCGGATAGATTGAGTTTAATCCTTTTGTCCCGCATCATCATCATCATCATCATCATCATCACCATCACCATCACCATCATCATCATCATCCTCATCCTTATCTGCATCTTTATGAAAGCACGATGAACACCTGCAGGGCGACACTTCAAAGTTTACCTCTGCGGTGTGATCATGAAGGCGCAGACGAGCAGACAGATTTTCAGAATAGCAATTTTACCGGTTGACGTAAGAGATGGGTCCGGTCGCCCTGGCAACCAATTGGCACTGAAGTGTGGAGCGGCTCCGTTGCCCCGCCCCCTGTACAAATACCCCCATGGCTTTGACGTCAATACACGTCAACCGGAGAACATGATGCCTCTCTGCGAGTCCACCCGTGCGCTCCGCGGCTGATAGAGGCTCCGCGCAGCTGAAACATTATCGCGGTATTGTCGCGGAGGGGAACGTGGTGTGACGGCTCAGCTCATGGCCTGCTCCGGGCAGCGTCGCCTCACGGGCTCACGCCGAAAGCAACTTTGTTTTTAATGGACGCGCTTCGAGCGGCGGCGGCAGGAGGAGCGGCAGCAGCGGCGGCGGCAGCAGCAGCAGCGGCGGTGGGCGGCTTGTTCTACTTTCGTCTTTATCTGTAGCGGCCCCGAGCGAGCGCCACAGCGAGCCCCGTGCGAGAGCCCCCCTCCTCCGGGCAGCGTGTCCCCCTTCGCCCGCTCGTCTGGCTACCTCCTCCTCCACAAACAGTCACATTTAGAACAGCATGGTCATGGCTGACAGTGTCCAGAAACCGCTGATCCGGGGTCCGGTCCGAGTGGGCTTCTACGACATCGAGCGCACTTTAGGAAAAGGCAATTTCGCCGTGGTGAAGCTGGCGAGACACCGCATTACCAAGACCGAGGTGAGTGAGTGAGTGAGTGTGTGTGTGTGTGTTTGGTGAACTAGTTAGCCCCAAAGCTAACTTAGGCTACTGTTCAGACCGAGTTACATAACTTTTCTCATGTTGTAGCTGACACCCCAGATATTCACAGCGGAAAGCGCGACGCTGGGTGCACGTCAGGCACTAACACAAACTTGGATCGGGTGACGGCCCGGTCACTCCGCTCGGCTGCTCCGGTGTTTTCACTCCTGCAGATTCAGGAGCAATGACTGAGAGCACGTTCACCCCCCGTCAGCTGCACATCACTGCCAGGAAGAGCCGTGACCACCGGTGCTGCTGGGAAACACAAACTAAACATGCGTGCGTTTTATTTCCCCTACCTCCAGGCCCATCAGCATCATACACCTGCACTCCCTCTCTGCTAATGACCCAGACAGTGCACCGACTCAGAAAGAGTATGGCTGGTGTAAACATGCTGTAACTGGGGCGTGCATACATGCAGCATGGGTCGGTGGTCCCATTATGTAATCTAAATAATGATGTGATTTACCGGTGTCTTGTGCCAGCAGTGCCCGAGAGCTTTCTGAGGAGCAGGGGTATGCCAGCCAGAGCTGTGTAATTGGAAAGCAGCAAGTGTTCTGCACACAGACACGCAGACAGCAATCCACTGGCACAGCTCTGGTCTTCATGTAGTTTGGAGAGGGTTTGATGTCACTCTGAACACTCTCAGGCGATGCAGCATTAACAGGGTTTGGATTGGCCTGAGTTAACTTAAGGTTTTATGTCATCTCTGTGCAGAGAGACATTTCTTGAATAGTACCACTGAGTGCCATGAGTTTATATTGTACTGACAGAGACACTGAGATTTAGTGTGAAGAGTGTCCGGCCTGTGTTAAGAAGCTTTGTTGGGAGAGACAGAGGGGGGGTGTTAGAAAAATAGGCTGGGAGACATGTGAAACACAGTCGCACTCTTTGATCTTTGATCCTCAGGGCCTCCCAACTGTGTGTTGTGGTACGTGAGCGATCATACTCTACAGAAAAACAAAGATCTGTCACGCAGAGGAGACTCTTGGTAGGTTTAATGAAAAGCACGGTGAGAGAATGGCTCTTAAGGCTCTTACCATGTTAATCTGTTTATTAAAGCCCGTGAAGTCTAGTCAGGTAATCTGTAACCATGTTACACTAACAGGTTAAGATTTTCATTTCAGGTTAACCATGCACCAGGTGATTTCACTGAGTGCCTCCACCTCTGCCTCAGCCGGCAAGGCATTAGGGTCGACTGAGAACATAGGTGGTGGTTTTCAGGTCGCTGGTTTGGTAGAGGTCACTGATCGCTGGTTGGTACAGAGAGCCACTGCAGACACTTGGCTTGACCAGAGCCAGACTGTTTAGTCAGAGTAGCCAAGGTCAGCCGGAGAGGGAGGCTATCAACTTCATGTGATGCCATCTGCCTTGAGAATATGCCAGTGTAACCGAGATGTTAGCCTGGCAAGAGAAACCAGAGTTTAATGACACATTAAACAGCAGATCTGATGTGTGTGTGTGTGTGTGTGTAGGTTTGTGCATATTCCCAGATAAGTGTACCTGTGTGTGCATAACCTACTTTTCCTACTCATGGCCCCTATGTGTTATACTGACCCTTACATTTTGCAGCTTGTGGGTTCACATCGTGTAGTTCCATTCTCATGTGTGCTAAGTGAGTTTGTAAGAAGTCGTATGTTTGGGTATGTATTGTTGACAATGCAATCAGCGAGCGCCGATCTTGTCACGTAATCCCTCACTGCTAGGCCAGTTGTTTTATATACATTTTAAGAGAGTGACTGACTTGCAGCTGGTGTGCTGTTAAAGGACTCGGATTCCTCTATAGGATTTTAAACCAAATATACGTTGTCGGTACTGTGGGTAGTGAAATAGTAACGGGAAGTGTTCAAAACAGCTAATACTGCACATCTTTAAATGCGAACTACAAATAGATGAAAGAGGATCAGAACGAGTGCCTGTAGGATTGAGGTATCACACTTCTGACTGATCACAGCATGAAAAAAATTACTCCATATTTACTCAATGATGCCACTGCAGTGATACAGCAGGGATGCTCATGCAAAAACAATTGACGGTAATCTAGTTGAAAATATTACACCTTGCTCAACTTGCACCAACACTGGGTGAAATCAGCTGGCCGCGAAAGCCAGCCAAATACATGCACTTGCACATTCCTGGTAAAATACTTTTACAGTGTGACCAGGGCGGTTCTGCTGTTTATATGATGGCTGCCAAGATGGAGGATAACCCGATCATCAGTGTGATAAAAGACCGTATTATAAACTGCTGTGCAGTGTTTTGGCATCTGATCATTCTTTACACTCACGGATCTGTTTCAATAATCTCACCTAAAACTGCAGCAGTGATTACCCTCATGATTGATTGCTGCAGATTATGTGTTATTGATTAATCATTTGGAGAATAATAACATCACAATTTCCCTAAAGCTCAAAAAGACCTATTCAAATTGCCTGTTTTATCTGACCAAGACACTGAAAGCCAAGGCCAAATAGTCCCCTTATGAAATATCATATAAATTCACTTGATCTGGATTTTTATTTGGATCAACACTAAATTAGACACACTCATAAATATCAGTCTCCTAAATATGCACGATTTTTTTCTTCTCGTTGCGTGAATTTATTTCTTCAACAAATTAAGGAAAATATTGTAAACCACCTATCTGACCATGTTGAAGAAAGCGAGAGGAAAATTCCTGAATGTGCCCCCTGTTCTGTATCTGCACCAAAATGTAATGGCTTCTTCCCTGACCCATACAGCCTCCTTCCATCAAATTCCGTGGAAATTGGTTGAGTAGTTTCTGCGTATTCCTGCTGACAACCCAACAAACGGACAGGTGAAAACATTACCTCCTTGGCAAAAGTCAGTTTACTATCAGAGAAGACAAGAATAACAAATGTTACCCTTTTGCCATTGTTACTTAAACATTGACTTAAACTGTTTATCTTATCGATTCAGCTTGAGTCTCACAAGTACCTGGAACTACGCACTAATATATGCAGGTCCCTAACATAGTCTGTGGCCTCCTGTTGTTTACTCGTCCAGCTCCACTTCGAACACTTGAGATCACACTGATGAAATGTTGTTTATGTGGCCATGTGAAGCAGAGATGTTAGTGTTACGTACCAGACATCGTTACTTAAACCCAAGAGTGTTGAAGTTGTGAGAGTGCGATTCACACGAACCCGTCGTTTTGTGTGTGTGTTTATCCAGCGAGGCATGTGTTTGCTGTACTCTCCTATCATATTTCATCATGGCTCAATTTTTAAAACTTGTTTATGAAGGATTCGACACAAGCTGTATGTTTATCTTGTGTCTCAGAACCAGTTCTCCACTCTCATAGCTGAGAAGAACACGCTATATCCTTCTGTTACTTGGAGAGTATTAAATTGCTGTGTGTACTAGCGTTTGTTTTAAATGTGTGTGTGTGTGTGTGTGTGTGTGTGTGTGTGTGTGTGTGTGTGGTCTTTCTAATTGCTCATCAGTTGTGATTACGGGTGATTATAGTTGTATTTTTGATGCTCCATCGTTCTGCAGGTGGCCATTAAGATCATCGACAAGACCCAACTGGATGCTGTCAACCTGGAGAAGATCTACAGAGAAGTTCAGATAATGAAGATGCTAGACCACCCCCACATAATCAAGCTCTACCAGGTGAGCCATCAACACCCTTTCACTGCCTAATATGCAAAATGTGTATAAAATATAATCTATGCAATTCTGCTGCATTCAACGCAGCATCTGTTGCACTTCTGTCTGTCCTGGGAAAAGGGTCCCTCACATGTTGCTTTTGGTCATTCTTGAGGGTTAAGGACAGAGGATGTCACACCTTGTTAAGCCCTATATAACAAATTGTGATTTGTGAATATGGGCTATGAATATGACGTGATTTAATGTG